AAAGAGAGAGCGAGCGAGGCGGGAGTCGAGCAGGGCGATTGAGTTTGTGGTAACGTAATTTTTTTAGGCCCAATCAAAACTGAACCTATATATGTATATTGGGCTAAAAAAATTTGTTGCCCTTAGAATTTTTGCTGCCCTAGGCCATCGCCCCAAGGTTGGCCCTACTTAGATGAAAAGATATCATGTGAAACAAAACCCTCAGGTAGAACTCATGTATCTCATAAATTTTGGAGTTTTCGTATGATTAGGTGTGCACGCGCGCGCGCACACACACACACACATACACACACACACACACACACATATATATATATATATATAGGGGCCTAATCAAATGAGAACTAATTAGTTTGTGGTAACTGTGAGAACCAATATTAACCACAAATCAATAGATAAATTAGGAAATTTATAATTTTGGCAATTTTGAATTAAAAGTTTAATGCAAGGATATTTTTGGTATTTTACAACTTTCCTCCCTCCTCTCTTCTCTCTCCGGCCACCGTTCGCCAGCCACCGTCCTCCGATGATACTACAATGGTATCACAATGCATCATATATGTGTTTGGGTATCACATTGATGCCGTTTGTGTGATCGATCGAAGATGTAACACAGTGGTATCACTATGCATCTTATATATGATTAGGTATCACAATGTATATTTTGTTTAACAGAGTCACTATTTTTAGGTATCACAGTGGTATCATAGTGGTATCACCGGAGGATGGTGGCCGGAGGCCGGAGAACGGTGGCCGGAGAGAGAAGAGAGGAGAGTTTTAAAATACCAAAAATATCCTTGCATTAAGATTTTAATTTAAAATTACCAAATTTATAAATTTTCTAATTTATCTATTGATTTGTGGTTAATATTGGTTCTCACAGTTACCACAAACAACTCAGTTCTCCCTTGAATAGGCCCCTATATATATATATATATATATACACACACACACAGAAAGAGAGAGCTTGGTTCAAATACTAACCAAATTTTTTTTTTGTTAACTATGTTAACCAAGCTCAACCAATCATATTCCATCTTTTCTTTTGGTTCAAATGTAACTCATATATTAAATACATGAGTATTTAAGTAATTTGTCATTTTATGTAACTCCCAAATAATTAATTGGGAGTTACGAATTTGAAAATACCACAATTGATTATGATGCAATATTGACATTGGGGTTTCACACGTGTTCATGTTCTATAATTCACATTTATTTTAATCGATAGTTCTCACCTTTGACATATGAACACACCAGATATCACACAGCCTTAGATGTCGTGATTCATAAGTGTTCATGTATATTCAAGTCACTAGATATTCATATGAATACACACACACACACACACACACAGAACATGTGAAAACATGTGAACACGTATGAAAACACACATCCCTATATGTCTTGGTTCATAGGTGTTCATGTACATACAACAGAGTTGGCTCCTGAATATATAGAAGATGTTCATACGGTTCACATATTGTTCATATGTCTAATCTTTTTTGTTTGATGTGGTTTGAAGATATACACAAGTTGTTCATATGTCTGACAACTCGTGTATCAAAGATTGATTACTTTTTACCTAAATATCCTTTGATATTTTGTTCACATATGTTAATTGAAAATATTAATTTAATAATTAATTTTTAAATATCATTAAATCACAACCGTTTATTATTCAAATTAACGGTCAAGATCAGTTAACAATATATATATATATATATATATATAGAGAGAGAGAGAGAGAGAGGCGGGATCAAATACCGTCTAATTCTTAGAAACCGTGTAAACTAATTTCGACCGTTTTTCTTAATTAAATTTAATCATTAAGGGTAGATTTGTCATTTACATTGTTTTATATTAAATATGGAAGTTATTAATAAATCTTAATTAAAGTAATATAATAAAAAAAAATTATAGGTAATATTTAAATGTTTATTTAAATTTAAATTTTAAAAATTGAATATTGTTATTTGGTTTCTTGGTTTATTAGTGATAATAATATGAAAATCGAAAATTATTATATTCATTAATCGGTAAAATTATAATCAGCTGTGAAACAGATTCATGTTAGATTTGTTCATGAAAACGTTTATTGAGGAGCTTGTTTTATAAAATGTATGCAAATTGGTTCGTGAAAATGTTCATTGAGGAGCTTGTGTTATGAAACTTTTGGGGATGAATTGGTTTCATAATATAATATTATTGCATAATCTTGTTTTCTTATCAACAATCTTTGATGAAATTGTTTCATTTTGTTTTTTTTGGATGATTTTGTTCACTTAATGGTTAACAAAACATGTAATGATAAATGCATTGACTATAAAACGTGTTCGTATTGCAAAAAATTGGCTGATGAAATGGATGCATGAAGAAAGTGAAAGCATTTCATATTAGATAAGAAAATGTAGTGTAATTAGCAAACAGTGAAACTATTTCATCATTACGATGAAACGGATCCATCTACCGATCACAGTGAAACCATTTCATAAAGATTGAAACAGATTCATCTACCATTACGTTGATTTGTGTATTGATGAAGCTGTGAAACCATTTCGTTCATGAAATATATTAGTAATTTATTATTATTATTATTATTATTATTCAAAAGGTTTCATTATGTTAAATTGATTATAGTGTGTTTTATTTTTATTGTTGATCTATTCTAATGATGAATGTTATTTTTTTAATATTTAAATATAAAATTAATATATTATTTTACAAATGATTTTGTTTCATTAATATTACGATATACATGATATGGTTGCCATTAATATTACCACTGCCAAAGTTACCATTTTGCCTTTTTTGGGATTATAAAATAATTTTTTATTTTTTATTTTTTTAATTTCTTAATATAACCTAAACTAATCTTGACCATTGATCAAGAAAATAGATGGATGAGATTGGTTTACATGGTTTACACAAATGACGGCGGTTTTCATTTGATCGCTCCTATATATTTATACTATCTTATTAAGCAAATTTAACAAAATCTTAAAGTCTTAAAAATTTAAGGGGGTTGATATTGCCACCCCCTGCAACACTTTCTACCCCTGCAYTTTGTTCCCTCTCTCACAACCTTCTCCTCTCACACACCTCTCCCTCAGGAATTCACTGTTGAAGAATTTCAAAATTTTAAATTTACATATTTTACCCCTATAATTAGTTAATTAATTCATTTTATATCTTTTCCTTTTGAATTTTTCATTTTATACCCTGATCAAATTAACATACATAATCGTATATCAATTAAAATATGTTTAAAAAATACGTTTTAATTTTAACAAGTTACACCATTATAATCGTCACGTCAATACCTTCGAAATAAGCCCAATATTGAATATTTTTTTACTTAATATTTTTAATATTTACATTTATAGTTATTT